AGAGAGAGAGAGAGAGAGAGAGAGAGAGAGAGAGAGAGAGAGAGAGAGAGAGAGAGAGAGAGGGAGTTTAGTTAAACATGAGATATTTTCTGAATTGCATGCGGACCAAACACAATGTAGACGTAATTGAACTTTGGCAATACTACGCTCGACAGGGTTGCAGACTACCAGTAGAAACTGTGCTATGCCGACTCTACTGGGTTCTCACGTGTGCGTGCAAAAGTCTAGAGCGCTGTGAAACTGTGGTATGCCGACTGTTCTTTCAAGATCTCGAGCCCTGTGCTCGTCTGGCGCGCGAGTGCCTTTGTTCCATATCTATACCAGTAGAAGTAACTTAAAGTACCAAAGTGATAACAAGAAAACGTTCCACGAACAAAATGGAAATGGTTTTATCAAAACTTTCATGGCAAGAAATTTCCAAGGTTGGGTGGGATTTGAATTTTGGAAGTCTAAACAAGGGACGCTGGATCTAGTTTCCGGCAGGTGCCGCTACCCACCGATAGATTAGAGCCGTTGGTCTTCCAAAGACCTCAATCTTGGTGGTTCTCTCACCACCACAAGGATAGAGGCCTTCTATTGCGACGTTTGAGGAGGGGGAGAGGGGGGGGTGAAGGGGGAAAGAACAGAAAAAAGAAGAAAGTTTGATGAACTGAGCGGCCTAGCTCAGTTTGTTAGGCGTGCATGTGGCATTCAGGGGGTGGCGGGTTCAATCCCCACGGACCGCCGGTCGCGGGTTCAATCCCCGAGGACCGCCTGGTGCACGATTGGTGCTAACCAGCTGAGATAGTCGGCTTGCTGCGCCTGGTCGGTATATATTAGTAGGGTCTAAAAGGCCAACACGGGTGAAATGAGTGTGGATGCTATCCGTGAAATTGCCCTCTTCGACTGGGCCTCATAGAGCATGAATTGTGCAAAGTACGGAATTGGAAAAACACAAAATGGTTAGTGAAGGGCGAAGGCCGCGAAGCTCAGTGTATTAGCGGCGCCTCGTTATCACGAATTCAAGATCAAAAGTTTTTGGACAACAGAGACAAACATACAACTGATCAACTGATTTTGTGTGTGTGTGTGTGTGTGTGTGTGTGTGTGCTGTCTCTTATACACATCTAGATGTGTATAAGAG